ATTTCTATTTTCCAGAGCATCTCAAGGAACAGAACTGGCAAATCGTATTTCACTTCCCTCTTACATTCAATCACAATAGCACTATCCTTTCAGTCTTCGCCCATAGTGTCCTTAAGAGCTTTCTCTGCCACTCAAGTATATCATTCATAAGTATATCATTTCTGGGACCAAATTTTGTTTTAGCTATGTGTTGTTGAATAACAAACCACTCCAAGGCTTAGTGGCTTAATAGAACAGCAATTACTTATTTTGCTCATGATTTTGTGAATTAATCAAGGCTCTATGGGAATAGCTTCTCTTCACTTTGTATTAGCTGAGGTGACGTGACTGAGGCTGGATGATATGCATCCACATGGTTGGCAAGTTGGTGATGGTTAGCATAAGGAAGTTCAGCAACCTAGTTTGGGCCCTTCAATTCTCTTTCATTTGTCTACTTGGTGGTTCTCCACAACATGGCACCTGGGTTCAAAGATGGAAGAAGAGAAACTTCCACTCTTCCTAAAGACTAGGCCTTAAATTGACATCATATAATTTAAATCACTCTTGTATTTTACAAAGGAATCACAAACTAAGCCCAGTTAGAAGCAATTTGAGAAATTGATCTAAAATAGAATGAAAAAAGTTATTAAGCCATCATTATCATCTCACTACAGCTAGGAGTAATACCATAAAATAATGACACATATGTTTCTTTATAAATAAACTTTTTATTTCATTTTGGAATACATTAAAATTGTAGAAAGTTACCAAAGATAATACAGATTGTTCACACAAAACCCATGCCCAGTTTCCTCTAATTTTAACATCCTATAGCACTATGAAACTATTGTAAAAGCTAGCATTGGCATGCTAATGTCAACAGCTCTAGGCTTTATTTGGATTTTACCTATTTTTCTGTTAATGTTTTTTTTTTTTTCTGATCCAGATTTAAATCTAGGGTTTCACATTACTTAGTTGTCATATCTTCCCAGTCTGGGACAGTTTCTTAGTCTTTCCTAGTCTCCTGTAGCTTTGAAACTCTTTAAAAGCACTGGGCAGTATGTAGGATGTACCCAATTCATGACTGTCTCATTTTATTATCATGAGTAGATTGAATAAAGGTTTTTGGAAAGAATACCACAGAGTATTCCTCTCATCACATCATTTAAGGTGATATGATATTAACATAATATCACTAACTGCAGTGGTCGGCATATTTAAGGTGATATGATATTAACATAATATCACTAACTGCAGTGGTCGGCAAACTGCGGCTCGCGAGCCACATGTGGCTCTTTGGCCCCTTGATTGTGTCTCGTCCTAAGCTTTAGGAGTACCCTAATTAAGTTAATAACAATGTACCTACCTATATAGTTTAAGTTTAAAAAATTTGGCTCTCAAAAGAAATTTCAATCGTTGTACTGTTGATATTTGGCTCTGTTGACTAATGACTTTGCCGACCACTGACTAAGGGTATTAATCTTCATCATTTGGTGAAGGTAGTGTTTACCAGATTCATACATGCTCTGTAAAAATTACTAAATTTCTCTTTCTATAATATATTCTTTGATAACAAATCACTATGTTTAGCCCCTTCTCAAGAAGGACCTAGAAGGAAATTAGGCTCTACCTCCTAAAAAGGGGTATATATATATATATATATATACAGTCATGGGCAAAAGTAGGTTTATAGTTTTTCATATAGAAAAAATTTAATAAATAATAATACAAGAGTATACCCTGTGTTTCATGTACTCATAACTGTAAACCTACTTTTTCCCACCTATGTATATTAATGTAGTTCTTTTGTAATGAAGATTTGGCTCATCTCCACAAATTTATTCATTTATCTAATCATTTATGTATATTATTATAGACTCATGAATATGTATATCCTATTTTTGGTTACAACCCAATACAAGATTATTTATTCAGTGTTCAAATTGATCCAGCTTTGTTTACAGGGTGCTCTTTCGGGTTGGCCAATGTGTTCTTTTAAACTACCTTATTTTTAAATTTCTGTAATAAACTTAAGAAAAGTTGTCAATATAGTACAGAGAGTTTATATATTCCCACAGCTGGTTTTCCCTATGATTTATACCTTACATTAGCCTGCCTGGCACATTTGTCAGAATTAACTGAAGACCCTAAGAACATATTTTATTCATATTTTCTTAGTTTTTTTTTTTTTTTATTATTTCTAATGTCCTTTTTCTATTACAGGATTCCATCAACTTAGTTGTCTTGTCACTGGTCACTGTAGACACATTGAGATAATCTGTAATCAACCCCCCCAAAGTGCATAATCTTGTTAACTATTCTGTAATGCAATCTCTGCCTTACTTTTTTCCACTCCATGTAATCTTCCTTATGTTCTCTGCTTAATTTCAAATTTATAAAATAAGCTGCAAGTCTTTTATTCTCCAGAGCATTTGAAATCTTGCTCTGAGGCATATATCTCCAGTTAGGGCCAAAACACTCTTATTAAAATTTATCTACAGATTTGGACACTCTTATGTCTAAAAATGGTAATGCCAGAATACCTTGCGCTGTGTCTAACCAAAAATATAAATCAATCAATCAAACAAATTGGGAGGATGGACACTTGGTACAAAATATTTGAATGTATCTCTTCCCCATACTCACCACTACCATGTTTAAAAAAATACAGGTTTTATACACCTGAAATATTTATGTTGGGTAGGGACAATTTGCTTTCCAGTTTGTAAGCATGGAATCTGCAACCTGCAGTGAAATAAGTAAGGATTAGTGAAGCAAAGAAAGAGGTAGATATTATAAATAGGAGCATGCAGCATGTGCAAAGCCCTTGAATCAGGAAAGTGTGTAACATTGAAAACATAACTAATTAATCTACCTCTTTTACATTTGCCTTCTGCTTCAGCCTCACTTTGGCAGAGAGTTCAATATGAGATATGAGATATTATTAACAAAGATAATGCCTTATTATGACTATACTTTGAAGAAGAATGTAAGAATACCTAGTGCCTTCCAATGATTAAGCCAGAAGTTTGTTTGCTTTGTATATGTCTTTTTAGTCTCAGAGAAAGAGATGTTGGCAAGATGGTATCAGGATAAAGACTGAGAGAAGTATAGACTGGCTGGTGTTGCTCAATGGTTGAGCATCAACCCATGAACCAGGAGGTCATTACTGGATTCCCCATCAGGTCACAATGCCTAGGATGCAGGCTCAATCCCAGTGTGGGGGTGTGCAGGAAATAGTCAATCAGTGATTCTCATCATTGATGTTTCTGTCCTGCTCTTTCTTTCCATTCTTTTCTCTGAAATCAATAAAAGCATATTTTTTTAAAAAGAATGATAAGAGTATAAAAATATAAGGAGGAAGAAGGGTCAAGGCTATACTTATCACTCCTGAGTTAAGTAAAAACTGAGTAGCAATTGAAGAGTGTAGTAGTAGTTGTAGTACTAGTAGTAGCAATAGTACAAATTAAATCAGAAATGATTGCATTTGAGAACTTACTGTGTTTTATTTTCAATAGAGGACTTCATTCTAACACACTATTGAACACTACCTCATTCTATTGAACACTATTAACTATCAACACATTGAGTTGGATAATAATAGTACATACAGTTTACTATAAATTTAAGTTTAGAGAAGTTTCTGTATTTTTTAATGTTACATATCTAAAAACTTATGGAAATGAGGAAAAAAATGTAAATAAATTGTTTGAACCATTTCACTGCAATCTGGTTCTTGATGGACTATTGAGATTTCTCTTAATTCCTCTGCTTTATTTTTTCTGATGATGCATTTGAGGTCTCCAGGTTCTATCCCTTCATTTTCTCTTAATACCTTTCCAATCAGGCTCTTTATCTACAGTAAATCTGATTTCCTCAGTGTCACCAATCTTATCTAATAAAAGAGTAATATGCAAATTAATCATCACTCCCTCACTCAGTCATTCCCTCACTCCATCACAAAGATGGAGGCGGAAATGGAGCTGAGCAGGAGGCTTGGGTTGCCCCTGGTGATGGAGGAAGCCAAGCTTCCCACTTGCCCTGCCTGCCCTGACCTCTGCTCAAGGCTACAAAGTTTCAATTATAGAAGTTAAATAAATCCCAGATACCTGCTTCCATTCCGTGGGCGTGACCAGCATGAAAACAGCCATCAGCCCCTCACCCAGACTGGCCAGGAACCCCAGCATGGACCCCCACCCTGAAGGGGCTGTGGCCAGCCTGAAAACAGCCATTAGCCCCTCACTCAGGCTGGCCAGGCACCCCAGCGGGACCCACACCCTGATCCAGGACACCCTTCAGGGCAAACCAGCCAGCCCCCACCCATGCACCAGGCCTCTATCCTATATAGTAAAAAGGTAATATGCAAATTGACCCTAACAGCAGAAAGACTGGGAATGACTGGTCACTATGACACACTCTGACCACCAGGGGCAGACACTCAATGCAGGAGCTGCCCCCTGATGGTTAGTACACTCCCATAGGGGGAGCTCTGCTCAGTCACAAGCCAGGCTAAAGGCTGTTAGCAAAGTGGTGGTGGCGGGAGCCTTTCCCACCTCCTCAGCAGCACTAAGAATGTCCGACTGCAGCTTAGGCCTGCTCCCTACTGGCAAGTGGACATCCCTTGAGGGCTCCCGGGCTGCCAGAGGGATGTCTGACTGCCATCTTAGGCCCAATCCCCTGGGGAGCAGGCCTAAGCCAGCAGGTGGTCATCCCCCGAGGGGTCCCAGACTGCAAGAGAACATAGGCCGAGCTGAGGGACACCCCCCCACCCCTGAGTGCACAAATTTTTGTGCACTGGGCCTCTAGTAATATATAGTTTCCTAAATTTAGTCATCTATTTGCATCCTGAATTTATTTGATTTATCAGAAGCAAGTGACCAAGCTCTTTTCTACTTTCTATACTTTTTTCCCACTGGACTTCCAAGACTGAATACTCTCTTGCTTTTCTCCCACTTAACTGGAATTGCTCCTTGGTCTCTGTTGCTTTCTCCTCTTTTTGACTTTTAAAATTTAACAGACCTATACTTACATGACAGGGGAGATACCATAATCAGGAAGATGGTTTTCCCAGGGCCAGGCTTATCCATGGCATCCTGATGTGCTGACCCCTGTGATTTCCCTAAAAGTGGGAAACTCGACTGCATAATTTGTGGTAGCATAGGACTGTGTCTGCACTCTCCCCTGGAAAACAAAACAAAACAAAACAAAACAAAACAAAACAAAACAAAACAAAAGGGAACAGGCCTAAGACATAGTCCTTGGTGATCTCATCCATCCTTGTGGCTGAAACACCACCTGTACACTGACAACTCTCTAATTTATATCTCTAATCCATATTTTTAAATAAATTTCCATACTTAAATTCTTATACTTACAAGATACATTTATCATCATCTTGTTTTCTCTTAGAATTTTTTAAAATATATTTTTATTGATCTCAGGGAGAAAGAGAGAGGTAGAGAGAGAAAGAAACATCAATGATGAAAGAGAATCGATTGGCTGCCTCCTGCACACCCCCTAGTTGGGATCCAGCCCACAAACAGGGTATTATAATTTTTAAATTTAACATGTCCATGTATAAATTCAGAATCTTCTCACAAGCAATCTTATCTACCTGCAGCCTTCACTATTTGAGTTTATGGAACATTCATTCTCCCTTTTAGTTTCTTAGGCCATACAATCATGCAAACTTCTACTTTATACTAAGTTCTAAGTACTTTTTTCCAATCTCTATTTCTACCACTCTAGCCTGAACCACCATCACCTCTAACCTGCATTTGCATTCTAGCTTTCTATGAGTTCTCCCTAATACCCAAGATAAATAAACCCCTAAAATGTAGCTGCCAAATTGAATCTTTTAAAACATAAATCAGATTACATCACTCTTCTACTTAAAACTCTGCATGGCTACTCTTTACATTTAGTATAAAAGCCACGATATCTATAGTGTCTATCAATAGGGTAACCACATAATTTATGATGCAAACCAGATTAGAGAGTGAAAGAAGGAGTTACAGTAATTACAACAGAACACTAGACACAAAAATAAATTGGTATGGGCAACTGGAATGTTTTATCATGCTGCTGCTAATGGGCCTCACAATTTGCCCCTAATGCCTTTCTGATCTCCTTGGCCATCACTCTCCTCCTCTGTATTGATTCTGTTCTCATTACATGGGCTTCTTATTTCTTCTTCAAACATATCATGCAGGAAGGCACACATCTACCTCAGGGACTGTGTTCCTGCTCTGTTTTCTATGCCTACATTTCTATAATATTTTTATCTTGAGGATTCACTAGGATTACACCATTTTCTTATATTCTTTGCCCACATCTTGCCTCTTCTAAGGAGCCTACACTGATCACGCTATTTAATATGGAAATGCATTCCTCATCAATACTTGTATAATGCTATGAAACTTATACTGCATAAACTATGCACATAAAAAGTAATTAGTATACAGTAAATCATAAATGCTAGCTATCATCAGTTGCATCATCACCAGATATTCCTTTAGTAAGTCAATAATTTTTTTAAAAATTATAAAGTATGGCAGATACATTTTCAGATTAATTGACATATTAACCTATTTATTAGCATGCTTAAAATATATAGAGATGAATTTAGATATGAATGCAAGTCATTTCTTGATTTTGAACAGTAATACTAGGAATGCTGTTAGAATCAGGACAGTCCTAACTCTGACACTTATCTATATATGTGATTTATAAGGCATTTATTCTTTAAAATATAAACAGAGATTTACAGAATATTTTCTTGAGCAATCAAAACTTTTACAAAACAGCCTTTAAAAATTTGCATAGCATTTTTATGAAATAAAACAAACAGTAGTTTAAAGTGGATTTTATCAACGGGTATTTTTAAAAATGAATCTAAATATATCCATCAGTCTATCTAAATATATCCATCAATCTAGTAAAGAATACTTACCATCAAAACATCTTCCTTTTTTATTTGTAATTTCAAATAAATGCCACCACACAATAATAATAAATAATAAAATAAATTAATAAAATACTAGCAAATTTAGCATCTTCCTCTATTCAAATATTTTATTTTTTTAAAATATATTTTATTGATTTTTTTACAGAGAGGAAGGGAGAAAGATAGAGAGTTAAAAACATCGATGAGAGAGAAACATTGATCAGCTGCCTCCTGCACACCTCCCACTGGGGATGTGCCCGCAACCAAGGTACATGCCCTTGACCGGAACCGAACCCGGGACCTTTCAGTCCGCAGGCGGACGCTCTATCCACTGAGCCAAACCGGTTACGGCCATTCAAATATTTTAAAAAAATGGAAATGAGCATTTTATAAAATATGTTCTTAGAATAATAAATGACATTTATTTAATATATATAGATAGTTGTATGTTTATTGTGTATAATGTATATTAACTTTAAATGACAAAAATCTAGTCTGATATTTCCATGAGCATGTAATTTATAGGTAGAAGCATAAAAACATAAGATTGAAAGCAACTTTATTAAATATCAATATATTTTATACATAGTAAAACTTTTAATCAGTGATTGTGTGTGTGTGTGTGTGTGTGTGTGTATGTGCACAAACATCACTGGAGATGAACCAAATGTGTCATTAATTCTTTTAACAACATGGGATCATCTGGGTTCTCATTCCAAACTATTGTGCAAAGTTCTTTCTTTTTAATGACTAAGTGAAGAAAAATACTGTATTTCCATTTTGTTCTTATAAATATATTGTTTAGAGGTCAGTTCCTTATAAAAATATATTTTTATTGATTTCAGAGAGGAAGGGAGAGGGAGAGAGAATCCTTGATTGGCTCCCTCCTGCATGCCCCACACTGGTAATCAAGCCTGTAACCCAGGCATGTGCCCTGACCTAGAATCAAACTATGACCTCCTGGTTCATACGTCAACACTCAACCATCGAGCCACACCAGCTGGGCAGAGAGGTCATTTCTTAGGTATGGCAATTCATTTAATATATCATCTGAAGACACAGGGTGGTATTTGATTAATACAAAAAAGTCCCCTACAATCCCCTGCCATCTTGATCTTTGCATTCATCTTCTAATTGAATTTGTTTTATAACAGTAGAAAGTCAAATTTCTTCTCTTTTCATTATGGTTAAAAAATAAAAACTTCTAATTCTCAACTGTATCAATTAGCCTGAAAACAGACTGCAAAGATGCTTTTTCCAGGCTTTGAAAATGCCTGCTTAAAAGATGATGCAATAGTTTGGACAGTACAATAAGAAAAGGAGAGAATGACAATTTATTCCATGTTGCATTATTCTTCTATGTGATTTTGTCATTCTTTTGTTTTCTTAGTTCTTGTTCTTTTTTAGCATAGGTGGAAATAACCAATGTGTAATCATGAGTAAGGATGAAACAATTCTTAGGATGATAAAATAGAAAAAAAATCCAAAATAAAGAGAAAATAAAATCACCATGGTTCTATAATTCATTTTAGATTCAAAATAGAATTTAATGGACTCAAATGAAAGTTGCAAGATAAAATGACTTATAGTCTATTTAAAATAGGTAAATTTCCTTTTTGTTTTTGGGTAGGACTCTAAAAATATACATAAGTCATGAAATATGAATCCTTAAAAAACAGAACTGCCTAAAAAACTCAAAAACAAAAATCAGTCCAATGATCCTAATACTGTACCAAGGTGAATCAACTTGGCATATTATGTATGCTCAATAAAAATTCATCTTATTATCCCTTTCTGCTAAGTGACTCCTTATTTTATTGAACACTGAAGAAAGAAAGTTTGGGGTATATGAAAATAATAGAAAGAAGAAAGCAAAATAAGAAAGATTTGTATATTTATATTTAAAGTGTATAAATAGTAAACGAGTAAATTTTATATGTGCATACATATATACACATATGTATACATATGCTATATATGAATTTTATATACATGTAAATATATTTAAAATATATACATATATAGACATATATGGATACTATTTCCACTTTGTGGATTGATGACACAAAATCCACATTTCACACATGCCATTTAATATATTAGGGTGGTCCAGTCATTGTGGCTCAGTGATTGAGTGTTGACACATGAACCAGGAGGTCATGGTTCTATTCCTGATCAGGGCACATGCCCCGGTTGCTATCTCATTCCCCAATGGGGGATATGTAGGAGGTAACTGATCAAGGATTCTCTCTCATCATTGATGTTTCTACCTATCTTTCCCTCTGCCTTTCTCTCTGAAATCAATAAAAATATATTTAATAAAAGATATTAGAGTAGTTTGCCTATAATATCTGCTACTTAAACAGAATTTATTTGAGATTGTCAGAGATTAAAACAAAAAAAAAATCATGAGTAGGATCTGTTTTTGGGAAGAAGATAGTACATTAGGTTGGAACTATTAATTTTGAAATGCATTAATTTTTGACAATTGAAGCTAACTTCACTGATATAAAATGGTGTAGTGCAAGAGAAATCACTGCCAGAGCATGAGCTAAAATCTGAAAATATAAATTGTAGCTATTACATTTTATGTAGGCATTTCTGACCCTAGTTGTCTGTAACTTTTGATATGGCTATAAGCTATCCTCCAGAAATTAATTTCTGATAAGTTTAATTAATACTCAGCCATATTAGCAAAGAAAGAAACAGAAATGATTTGAATGATTTTCATTAACACATTTATTTCACTTTAGATTGGCATTGCTGTTTGCATCGTGTGACTGCAAATGAGTTCTTAAATGGCCAAGGTGTTCTTTTAAGGGCACTTGAGGCATGTCTGAAATGTTTCCTTCATTTCACTGAATAAGCCATGCAGGTGATTATATGATATAGTACTGGAAAATTTATTTTCTCTCATTCCCAATAGTGCTTTTTGCAGTAACATCTAAATTAAACAGTGATAAAGTTGATATAAAAAGGAAAATAAAATCGTCAAATATTATAAAGATAAAAATGTAACATTTAAAAAATTCTTTGAGGTTGAAATTCAATTTTGATATATTTATTTTACAAGGAATCAAGAATCACAAATATTTTTTAATCACAAACAGTACCTGTGTTAATTCATACATATTCTATACTGAAAAGGACAATTTATTTAATAAATTAGACATGTAAACTTATGTCCAACATACATATATCAAGTGTGTTAATAATGATACTGAGTATATTTTTATTT